CCCCAAAACCCCAAAACCCCAAAACCCCAAAACCCCTAGGTTAAGAGATTATTTGAACTAAATGGCTATTACGAGCAAATATGGAGTTAGAAGGATTTGAATGAGATTGTTGGAGGGTAATCGCATTTTAGTCTGTTTAGGAAGTCAGTGGGGATTGTACCTTCCGAAGGGAAATCAGTGGAGAAGGATCTAGAAGGGTTAGGAAGGTGCAGGAGAGAAGTATACCTGGGGATTATGTCATCATTGAGTTGTTTTAGCATATGCTCTGGCTCTTCTTCGATTGGTATTGTGAACACTACCAGAGTTCCTTTCTTCGCCTCTGACTCTAAGTGAATGCTGCCTCCAATGGCCTCCACATATTTCTTGCTGATGGTGAGGCCGATCCCCGTTCCATTCAGGTTGATTGAATTCGGGTCGGTGGCCATGCTGAACAGTTTGAACAGCTGCTGTTGCTGTTCTTCGGTGATGCCTATTCCAGAGTCTTCAACAGCGAATTCGACAAAAGTGTTCTGCCAGTCTCTAACAATTTTTCATCCAATTTTGATATAGCCATGGAAGGTGAATTTCATAGAATTCGATACCAAGTTGAGTATGACCTGCTTGATTCTGCCTTCATCTGAATTCAATTCAAGTCTCGACACTTCTTCAGTCATTTCAAGTCTGAAGTCCAAGTTCTTTCTCAAACATTGCATTTCAAAGATGTCGAATATTTCATCGAGCAGAGCCTTCACCGAGAACACGCTCTTGGTGAGCTTGAAAGTGCCAGCCTCCATCTTGGACAGGTTCAGCACGTCTTCAATGAGCGTGAGCAACAGAAGCGAGGAGCTCTTTCCAATCTTGACAAACTTGGTGACCATATCTGTGTTGAGCTCTGCAGCTTCTTTCTTGGCGCCTCGGAGCTGCCGCAAATACGGCTTCGATATGTTGTGCAGTTCTTGGAACGAGTTGAGCACGATGTCGAAGGAGTTGGTGATCGAGTTGAGGGGAGTCCTGAACTCATGTGAAGCCGATGTGAACATGATCTTCTGACACTTGATGTTGTTCTTGGCTTCTTCGAGCTTTATCACATTAGTGTTGTCGACGAAGACATGCATGAAAGCATTGGTTCCCTCCCATTCGACCATCAGTGTTTTGACATTGCAGGTTCTCTGAGCTTCGTCATAGCTGTCTTTGTGTATCAGTAAGTTGCCTTGTGGGTTGCAGTGGATCTTGATGTCTTGGTCAATCATTGAGTCTTGGTCGTCAAGCATTTGTTGCTGTGACTTCAACAACCCCTCTAAATCGTGTGGAATGGTTTGGTGTACATTTGCCTCATCAGAGTTATCGATGAACGAAATGTCGATGTCTTTGAGATCGGAGAGGTCTTTCCGGATCTTCGCAAACTTATTCATGAATTCTTGGTTGGTAAACCACTTTTCGTTGGCTTTTGCTGGCCAAATGACAACACCAAAGGGGAGAATCTGCATGACTTTCTTCATTTCTTTGATGAGTCGCTTGTTCTTGAGAATTTCTGAATACATATTTCTTGTTTTGATAATTAACAAGTAGCTCGAAATGGTGAAATATAGACAAGAAAAGACAACACTTGAGATCACGTCAGCATCGTAATGATCATAGGTGCTCCAGATACCATAAGCAAGATAGACCATTGATAAGTTGTGAGCTAAAACGCTCGATTTCCATTGGTTTGGCACAAGAGTCATCAATAAGTGTCACATAGATACATTAGAAATGTGATATTCACTAAGACGATATGAATCTTTCTTTAACGTTATTGCAATTCACATATAAGTTCCAGCACCGATTAATATTGGGACAAAATAGAGCACATAGATTGGTTTATATTCAAGTATGACAAGGATTCAAAACAGCATGATTCAAAATATTAGACAATTCAGAAACTTTTGCCATTCACTATTCAAATTCTCTTGGTTCGAGTCTAAAATTGTATAATTTAATGTTTATATGAAATTACTTACCACTTTCTTGATTCTTCATGACATTTATATACGCTAGAGTTCCTATTACTGTACACAAGACGATAACACACCAACAGAGTATTCTCATGTACTTGAGATATGATTTCTTAATAGCCTCTTCAGTCACTTCAGAGATATACTGATCTACCTCCCTCCAATCCTCAGCCAGATACTTCCAAACTCTCTTGGCTCTGGCCGCTATTCCTAAAATTCCGCCTGGGTTCTCTACATACGAATGTTAGTGATGCCCGGAAAGGAGGCTTGGATGAGGGGGAGGAAGAGTGAAGGGAGATAGGGGGTTGGTGGTGGGAGAATGAAGTTTTGGGTATTGTGGAGGGGTTTTAGGGATGGGCTTTGGGGGTTTTGGAAAATTTAGGATTTTGGTAATTTTTTAGTCCTAATGCATTCTAAGGAAGTGAAATTGTAGATAGATTTCTTTTAATAACCCTTGTTGACAATAATTTAATTTTTTCAAAACTCCAAGATTTCAGAAATGAGGTTTTTACTTGTAATAAATTTTAAAAACCATAAAAATTCCCTAATTATAAAAATAACCCCAATACAACAACTCTCCTACTTCTATTCACTCCACTCAAGCAATACCACATCAGCCATACCAACAACCCCCACCTATTCCCATTCCAAAACCACCCCATCCCACAGTCCCTATCTCACCCAACCCTACCCCACTCCCAAATCCTCCTTATCCCCAAAACCTCCAAACCCCCACACAAATTCCACCAGTCCCACCCTATTCCTCCAACCCCAAACCCCCACTCTAAAAGCTACACGTAATATACAATCCTAGCCTGCCCAATCCTTTCTGACTGGACCCCAGCCAGGTTAATAAGGTTGGCTTACCTGAATTTTGGGGAGGGTCTTGGTGTCTTTTTCTTCGGGAGTTTTCGGAAGCTGAAGGTGAGGTTAGATTGTTTGGGGTAGGTGGAGGGATAGGTGTGGAAGTGGGATGGGTTACCTGAGGGATTGAGGTTGGAGTCAGATGACATTTGTATGAGTTAGAGTAATTATTATATTATATGGCATATAAGGGGTTTTGGGGTTTTGGGGTTTTGGGG